TTATATATATATATATATATATATAATATAATATATATATATATTTTATTTTATTTTAATAATTTTTTATTTTTTTTTGGTATTTTTATATAATATTACCCTTGTATATATATTACTCATACAACAGAAATTTAATAGCCTTTGATTGAACAACAAATTTTGCTCCTTTTCTCAGGTAATATTTCTTCCCTTTTCATGTTTTCCCTCTTCCCACTTCCAATTTTTCATCCACATTCTGCTTATCACCAAAACAGAAAAAATAAATAGATCAAAATTACATTTATTACTTGGACATGAATTACTATGGTATTACATTTTTACTCATATTGCAAATGTAAAACCTAAGGTAACAGCCTCCCTGATGAGTTTGCTATTTCATGCCTCATATTTAATGCTTTCAATGGTATTGAATCTTTCATGGATACAACATCGGCCCACCAGTATGTTTTTACCTTAATCCCCAACATCATCAAAATATCGGCACAATACCTGTTTTCTTTTATTTATTTTTTTGGTTTGTTCTTTTGGAAATTCTAAATAGAAACAACAAAGTTTAATTTCTGTGAATAAAGTTTTTCGTATTGTTTTTCTTAAATCTATAGTGATTTCACTCAAGTTTCACACATAATTGTTGTAGTTTTAATATTCTGCAACATTTTATGTCCCTGTAACAGCTTTTCTATGAAAAAAAAAATGTCCAACTGTACTCTACACATTAATAATGCCTGCTAACTCATTTTATGTCTTCATTGAGCTCTACTAAAGGGCTCTCCCAGATTTACACATGACTCTACTTCTACTATCACAACACTGTTGTTTTTATTTTCATTTGTTCTTCATTTTGTTTTAGTTTAGAAAATACAAACTTCATTATGGTTCCACTGTTTATAACTTTGTGCTCTGCATTCACTCTTTGTCCTAACTTCCTCTTACAACAGTTTATTAATGCTTTATTTCGACAACAAAAGCTCATTTACGCAGCTGAAAGGGGCATTTTACTCCACAGTGCTGCTTTCGTTCAATTCGTTTTCCCCTTTTGTCTAAACTGCTGAAACAATGTTGCAAGTCCCTCACCCAATCAGGCCTATTCATAAAAAATTAACTAACCAAGTACTTTGACTTAATATTCATCTTATCCAGCAGCTACTACTATTTGGTGAACTATATTTTCTACAAACATGGTACTAAGAGTGAACATCGCGCAAATAGAACCTGCAACGCGAGATTGGATTTGCAAAGTTCAAATTGTCGAAATAGGCCGCCCACGAGAAAGCCTTGACAAGAAATGTACATTCCAAAATTTGATTTTGGAAGATGAAGAGGTCAGTTCATTAGTATATTTTATGTTACCACAACTGCTCTTTCCCTCTCAACTTACTTAATCTCAACTTTGTATAACTCTTACTTTCAGGAATGCCAAATTAAGGCTGTTATGTACGCTGACGAAATTGACCAGTATGCATCTACACTCAAACTCTTCCATACCTACCTGATCTCTACTGCAAAAGTGAAAATCCCCCCAGCTTCATACGGCAAGCCCATACATAAATTCTACTGGATTCTTGACAAAGAAACAGTTATTGAACAAATCAAACCATCTCATGAACTTGAAAAACCACTTCCACCCCCAACAAAGCTGAATATCACAACCTTTGACCACATTCCTCATCTGATGGTTGATTCTGCTGCTGAAATAGGTATATCCACTGTACTACCTATTATCAGACTAAAATATATATCTGCGCTGCTGTAGAAGAGTTCCAACAATTCTTTATATATTACATACGCAGATATATTGGCAATTGTTCTTCATTGTGGTCCTCAAAAAAACGCCGGTCGCAGTCATCATAGGTGTCGAGAAATTACCCTTTGTGACAATCAGTAAGTACAAGATTTCACATTCTCTTTACCCTTTCTCTGCCAATATTTTGACACATTAACAACTTTTCCGTTTTCTCTGCTCCCACCATCAATTATCGTCTAACCATTATCATAGCACTTACTCTTTTGTCCTTCTGCTCTCACACTGTCAGGAAAACTCAGTTTCTGTTCACTCTATGGGAGGATTTTGGAGAAATAGAAGGACATGAAATTGCCTCTAAAATGGCAACAGAGGCAGATCTGCTTGTAATCCTCGCAAGAAGTATAGGAATCTCTACTTATCAAGGTACATATACAGTCAACTTCTTGCCAACATAATGTTACAGACTAACAAAATAATATACAACCTATATGTTATACAGGGTTGTCACTGCAGACTAGGTACAATTCCACGCTACGGGTGAATCCTAATTACCCACAAGCAGTCACACTCAAGAACTGGTACTACCATTTCGTATTTATTCTATACATTTAAATTGCATCTAAACAACCTACTAAACATATTATCTGTTGTAACAATAGGGCAAAAGAAAACAAAGCAATGTTGTTAAGTGGTCCATCAGATAAAACCTCCACAAGCTCATCTACTGCTCCCATGACAGTCACTACTGCTGGCCAACAACTTCTTTCTATTGCACACATCTCATCAGCGCCTTCTGTAAGTAATACTTCACATTGCTCATTTCAGAGTTTCCTTATTCAGTTTCTCATTCTGTAGCTTTGCCAAAATGATCAAAACTGCGCGCAGATGGGAGTCTTCTATGTTGAGGCAGAGATGGCCATATTAGATGAATTCCAAGACTTCTGTGTGCTTGAATGCTCAGGCTGCAAACAGAAGAAGCGCACAAAGGATAGAAAGGAGTTTGACTGTCCAAAATGCAATCGGAAAACAGCCTTGGTGCCTCGGTACTGTACTTTTCAATTCTAAATTACACTTTCTACAAAATATAGCATATACTATACACATATTTGAAACTTCACTTCATTTCAGCTGTAGCTTCCAAATTGATCTTATTGACAATACTACTACAACTACAGCATCTATTTCTGCTGACTTAGGAGAAAAAATACTGTCCATGACAGCAGAAGACATATTTGACATAACTTGCACTAAGGTTATCTCTCATTCCCACTGACTACTTGAACACACTTATATTGATAATTCCATACATTTTCAGCACAAACAATGCACCACTAATGCTTTGTTCTAAGCTATTTAATCTAACTTGCTATATTTACAGCGACAATCATTGTCTCTTACTCATGTCCATGAGATGCTGTCAAACAAAGTATTCACAATTCAACTAAGGAAGTCATCTTGGGCCAGCTCAAATACCACGCATGCAACTTTGTCCATTCTTTCCTACACGGAAAAAGAACAGACTCCACAGATGACCACTGATAGGACTTCTAAAAAATTTAAACCTTTGGAAATAGGTGAGGTAGAAGTGATCGTAACAACTACTGCAGCTGGTTCTTCAGATGGGCCGCCAAAATTTGAACCACCCACACCAAGCAAAAAGGTCTAAAAGGTCAGTCTACATCTCCCTTTCACACCAAACTACACCTCAGAATGCTTACCATTTCCACATACTTACAATTAATGCAAAAGATCCTGCTAAAAACCTCTACTTTTGGCTGTAGTTTACTTACTTCTATACATGTATCCATATAGTTGCTATAAAACATTGTAAGTGTCATACTTATGTTATACCACTGCTTCCGCAATTGCTCTTACCTCCTTTCAAATATCACAATTTTTCCATGTTTATATCTGACTTAACATTGCAACGACTCACATTAATTCAGGGCTACAAAGTCTCTAATCATCTTCATATCCATGCTAAAAACAATTTGTTAACAGTTTCTTTTTACTTCCTCATCTTATGTTCACTGCTGAAATAGGTTATTTTAGTTACAACAATTCAGACACTGCATTACTTCACATTTAGCAGCAACTGTTGTGCACAGCCACACGAATTTATTACTCCTTCATATTTCTACTCCTACAAACAGCTCAACTCATATGCAAGCAAACTGTGTTTGAACACTAAAAAACATAATCACAGTCAAACAAATCGTTATGTCTCCTCTGTGTTAATGATAGCAGAACACTGTGAGCTCATCTTGCTCTTTCCTTAGTCTTTATCAATTCACACTCCAATATAAACTTATCTACATGTTCTGCTGCATAACTTGCACTGCAGACATTCTACATTTTTCTTATTCTGCTTCTTTGTGATATCCCACACATTAATACAAACTTATCAGTAGGAACAATAGGAACGACGTTTCTGTCTACCAACAAATCTAACAGTTTTATGATCATTCCATGCATTTCGTTCTACTTTATCTCTATATTAAAATAACTTCCCTATCTCTTGCCATAACTGCACTTTCTAACATACTTTAAACTCTGTAATTGCAGGAACTCCCTCACACTGTTTTTTCACTTTTGCTTATAATAGGGACAATATAATCAAGGACTCTCCCTATGCTCTGGTTTATTTCATGAGGAAGGTTAACTCTGGCCAGGCAAACTGCAGTATCCTCTACATATGATACTGCAACATGTATATTGTTTTTGTTATAGTCCATTAGTTAGTATGTGCAAATCGTTCAACTCGACATCTATCCTTGATGTCTATTGTACATATTCTAAATATTTCTAATAGTACATATTAAAATATATGATATTAGTTAACTCTGGCCAGGCAAACTGCAGTATCCTCTACATATGATACTGCAACATGTATATCGTTTTTGTTATAGTCCATTAGTTAGTATGTGCAAATCGTTCAACTCGACATCATCCTGATGTCTATTGTACATATTCTAAATATTTCTAATAGTACATATTAAAATATATGATATTATCTATCTTCTACAAATGCCCTGAACCTTCATTCATTAATATTACAACAATTTCAGAAGCATAATACTTTGACTATTGGGCCCGTGCTTGCCACGGGCCTCCCTACCCTAGTAAAATATATGATATTATCTATCTTCTACAAATGCTCTGAACCTTGATTCGTTAATATTACAACAATTTCAGAAGCATAATACTTTGACTATTGGGCCCGTGCTTGCCACGGGCCTCCCTACCCTAGTATATATATATATCAAAGTTACTTTTTAAAATTCTGCTCAAGTCACAATTGGACAAACAATTTAAATGGATGAAGTACTATTTATAGAAAACATAAATCTTTTCACTAAAAAGAAGAAATAACCTTGCATGTCAAAAATAATTTTAAATACACTGCATCTTAAAAAACTAGAAGAATACACTTTAATTTTTTTATTTTTTTAAAAGTTTACGGCCTCTGATTTATTTTTGACTATAGGCCATTGATGAGCTTGAGCCTTTCGATTTTTGCTCTGCACCATTGAACCCTTCTTAAAAAGTATTGTGACTATTTTTTTTCTTTTACTTTCACTTTGCAGTGTTTTATAATGAAGAAACTCTCAAGAAAATTAAAGAGAGAAAACAATATTCAAAATGTATATTTTGGATGCTAACAAATAATAAATATAAAACTATAAGTGTAACGGTATATTCCATTATATTGGGCTAAAAATTAGGAGATGGAAAAAAAATATTATGATAAAATAGGGGAAGAATAAAGAGGGAAATGGGTAGCCACAACAACTGTGATACATACATGAGATACATTTAATTCTATATATATGTTAATTAATATTTGGATATAATTGATAATAATCCGATATTTATATTTTATTAAATAAGTATTAAAACAAGTATATATGGTAATTTTAGTCCTAAAGTAAATTTCCCCTATATTGAATTTATAAGTGGGTTAACTAAAACAAAGAAAGAATATGCTAACACTAATTTTTGTCGTCTATAGGCCCAAATAATCATTAAAAAGGATCAGCCCAATTTCTTAAATGAGTGAGAAAGGACAAAACTTAAAAAGACTATATATAAGTGATGTGAGCAAATATTGAACTTGCAACCTCAGCGTTAAGTTGAACTCTTGGACCATTGAGTTGCATTTTTCATTTGTGATGAGGGGGTTCAATAAAGGTTATATATATAATATTCAAATATGAACTTATATATATATTGTAATTTTTCAACAAGGGGATTCAATGAACCAATGAAGCCCCTCTTACATAGATTCGCTCTTGATCTAAGAAAAAATCAGTCTTACCTTTAAATTTTTTCTCTGATATCTATCTTTTGCCTTAACCACATCAAAGAGGAATTGAACCTCTTCTAGTTTTTTGAAAACTCTAATCCATTTGATGTCCGAGTAGCTACTTACCTTACTGGTGTCCGAAGAAGTCTGTTGGTACAGATGTCATATGAGATGTGAAAGCGATTTCCGAAATCCCGATTACATTACTGCAGGCCAAAATTGGATTTGATAGAACAAGCCAGAGAAAAGGGGCGTTGAGATAATACCTTTCATCCTAATCTCATCTACTGAAAAAGGAACCTTGATTTGTTTACTTCCTGCTTTAATAAGATCGGGATGAGGAGTGACCTTTTACTGGACCTTGAGGATCGGCTTAAACTTGAAACTACCCTAAGCTTGCTTTGTTGCAGCAAGATGATCAGTCCGAGAGTGCTGGAGAGAAGAGAAAGAGGTAAAAACCTCTCTTATTCGATCACCGAAAAGTCGAACTGATCAGGAGGGGACTTAATTGACTATATAATCAAATCTCATTATAACAATCATTCATTCTATCAAAATTTGACCTCAATACTGCAATTCACTGTATATCCCATTGATGTAGCTCGCAATATTGTATCATCTCTGCAAGAAACAATAAGAGATATAAACAAAAGATTGGAAAATATAAGCTCATATTTTCATTAACAAGAAGAATCCATTGTTTGCTTAATACACTCGATTTGTCACTTGCTTATTTCTTGTCCACTTAATAGATTATTTGCCTCGATCGAAATAATACTTCTTATTCTTTAAATTTCGTTTATAACTTCAACTGTACCTTTTAGGGGTTAAACAACCATGCAAAATTCCACTCACACCGACCATATTTATCGTTCACCCTACCAACCATTGTATAACTATTTTATAATATTTTATTAATATAATATTAGATTAATTAGTATTTTATTTGAATTCTATATTTATTAATCTAAAATATAGAATGTTGAGAACTTGAGAATACAAATGATTAGTTAGTGTTTGAAGCTTTTGTTTTGATGTTCTTTTGATTCTGTTTTCTTTATTTTGGGATTGGGCTTGTTTTGGGCCTAATATTTTTTTTTAGTTTTGTTTGACATTTCAAGGGAAGGAAGAATTAATTGGGCGGCAAAATTAGGTTACAAACTTCAAATAGTAATAAATGGTTTACAAAAATAGTAGTAATAAATGATTCAAAGAATATATATAGGACCATGGCACAACTTCAACATGTCGTTTGGTACCGGATGAGATAGATAAAGTTATTTCATGAGTTGAGATATTAAATGAAATTAGTCATTTCATTATTTATATGAATAATTTATTTCATCAATTTAATACAAATAGTGAATAAATAATTTAGAGACCAACTAATAATTTTAATCACACAAAATAAAAATAATCATATGTTTTACATATTATCCATCATCCCTTGTATCAAACGATCCACGAGTACTTTTACTACTAGGAGTAGTTTTGAATATTGAACTATCGTTCTTCAAGTGCATCTTAAATTGCCTTAGTTGGACATGCACCTAAGTCATGAATACAAAATAAATTCATCACACATCATGACATTAAAGGAAGTGGGGTAAGTGAAATGAGTAAGTATAGGTAGCTCTTTTCTTTCGTGGAAGGGTCAGAATTAAACTCCCAAATTATTATCGATTCTAGTTTAATTGTACACGAAGTTTAACACAATTAAAAGAAAAATTGTACTAGTTTCGTGGTATGGGTGGAGCAAAGTAAGAACAAGGGGTTCACGATTAAGATTATCTCTTGTGTATATATAATAGATGTTGAATACTCTTAACTTCTTCATATTTTAAATCTCTCTTAGAGAAAATTCTTAGTCCGTCATTGTCTAGTGATCTTAAACTAAATATATGAATAATGTACCAAAATATCATTTCGAATTTTATAATCTTAAACATATTTGGATGAGGAAATATAATCTCATAATGATACGAGGACCTCTAAAAAAGAAAGACCTACCTGCACATTTGATTCAGAACGGAGAATATCAGTTAACAATATCTTTGAATCGACTTAAACTAACGAGAAAAACACTAAAGAATAATAAGAACAATAGTATGATTAGTCTTGGTACATACATGGAACAATTTTCTTTGATATAAGACAAACGCCTAATTACTGGGAAAAGAATACACCTATGGATCAAACAACAACAACTTTTCCTTTTACATATATATATATAAAAAAAAATCAATAAAAAAAGAAGCTATGAGATCTTTAATTATCCCAAGCCCATAAAACCTAATATAGAAAAATAAAACTATAAAGTAAAAAAATAAGAAAATGAAGTTGGAAATTATTTATGCAAGAAAAAAGATAAACTTTTTTTTTGTCAAAAAAAAAAAAAAAACCTTATGGGATAACATAATCATCTGGAATAGTGAATGTGTCATCTTCATCATGTAGCCATCCAAATTTCTCCAAGAAAGGATTAACCAAAGTATTTGGCGGATAATTATCAATACAATCTTTCCACACATTTCCATTATCCAAATCTCTTAACACTTCCCATAAACAACTATTACACTTAAATCCAGCTCCAAAGCTAAGCATAAGCACTTTATCACCTTTTTTTAACCTTTTTTTGGCCTCCATATACCCCAAAACATACCATAGACTACTTGCTGAAGTGTTACCAAATCTATGTAATGTCATTCTTGCTGGCTCTAAATCATACTCACTTAAGTTCAAATTTGCACCAACACCATCAATTACTGCTTTTCCTCCAGTATGTAGACAAATATGATCTACACCTGTTTTGAAATTTATCATTGGCTTAGGTCCTCCTTTTGTTGATCCCCAATTCATTTTTTTCATAAAAATCGCGATAGCATATCGAAGTAGCTCTCTTATAGGAAGGATCAAAGGTGCTATTTGTTTCAAATTATCGACTAGTGCACGTGTAGCAGCCTTTGGTAGTTTTTTATCAAGGTGAAAACCTATGTTACCTTGATTATCCTCCCTTTGTACACAACTATCATATGACTCATCATTTGCACCATGATGTACCCTGACTAGTTGCTTCAATTTGAACATGGCTTTGTTTTTTAAAGACAATTTGTTTGTCAATAAAATGGCGCAACCTCCTGACCTAAACAAACAATTAGCAAGAATCATAGATCTATCGTTCCCAGTGTACCAATTTGGACTTAAGGACTCTGATGTCACCATTAGTGCAACCTTGTTCTTCTCATTCTTGAAAACACTTTGTATGGCATTTATTGATATGAGGCTAGCACTACACCCCATACCGGTGATGTTATACACCTTGATGTCTTCTCTCATCTTATAGTAATTGATTATTCGTGCAGCCAACGATGGCAAACAAGCTAACATGGATATATTGACCACAAGAACATCAATTTCACTAGGGGAAATTTTGTTCCTCTTCAAGACCTTATCAATACTATCTTGGAAAAACTCTTCCATCTCCAAGATACCATCTTCGTAAGTAGGACATGCTTCACGACCATCAAATACCATTTGTGGTGCATATGTTTGTTCACCAATGCCTGAGCTAACGATAGCTTTCAACAGGAACTTGTACTCATGTAGGCCAAGGTGTTTGTTCCTTCTAATTATTTCTCCTGAAAATTTTGTGCTAAGCATTCGATCATCGGTTGGTTTGTGACATTCATAGTCCAAAATGTAAC